CGCATCCAATCCGGATCGAGGTCGTTTACTAACCCCCACACCCGGTTTTGAATCGTGTCGGGGCCGGGAATGGTGTTCCGACCCCTTACGCGCGCCACCGCGTCGACCACACCTCCCGAGTGGTGAATTCCACCACCGACACGTCGTCCCCGGACGCCGAGGGAGGAAGGGGCAGATGTGTCAGAAAGAACGTGTCTACTGCCTTTTCCAACACGTCCGCCTTCAGCTGACCCGAAGTAGGTAGACCGCAAAGCTTCTCCATGACGACCCGATAGGGTTTCCTTACGAGAAGTTTAATGATATCTGACAGTGATTAAAATCACTATCATAAAAAACGCTTCGACGCAAAATTTTAGATAGTGTTTAATTTTAAAAAAACTGTAGCACAGTGGGGTCGCGGCATAGTGGAGACATTGCATAGTAGGGTCCAGTATAGATTTAATCTGACGGTGATTAAAATCACTATCATAAGAAACGCTTCGATGCAAATCTGTAGATAGTGTTTAATTTTAAAAAATTGGTGGAATATTTCCAAAAGCTACATGATCTGCTATTTCCTTATTTATATCCTGATTAAGATAAAGTATGTCGAATGAAATATGTATATAAATACTACTTCTCATGAAAAAATTGTATTGATTCATTCATTTTTTAAAACGTTATAGCATTTTAAAGTAAAAATTTAAAATATAAAATCGAGAATTTTCACACAAAAATAGCATTTGGTAGCCATTTTCACCGTGAAGACAAAAAAGACATCATGCATTTATAAAAAAAAAACAAATATACTGATTTGGTTATTTTTAAAAAAGTTATGGTAGTTTTAAGTAAAAAAAAACGGTAGCACAGTGGGGTCGCGGCATAGTGGAGACATTGCATAGTTGGGTCCAGATAGATTTAATCTGACAGGTGATTAAAATCACTATCATAAGAAACGCTTCGATGCAAATCTGTAGATAGTGTTTAATTTTAAAAAATTGATGGATAATTGCAAAAGCAACATCAACTTCTATTAAAATAAAATACAAAACCCATAATTATCATACAAAAATAGTATATTTTTCAATATGGTAGCCATTTGCG